GTCATTGAAATCGGAAATTTGCAAGCTATCGATGATTTGAATCCAAAATGGTTATATTTAAAGTTTACATGGGCGTTTTTGAGTTTTGACGCTATAAGAAGTTGACTTCATCGATCCCTACTAATTTGTGCCACTTAAAGCATTCATTGAAGTCATTGTTATGTCATGATTTATGGACCCAAGATGTTTAGCAAGACCAACTAGTTACTTGATCCCTAGGATTTTCTTACATCACAGGTACCAATCAATTTATTTCAGAACCCATTTTGTATGTTGCAACTGTTTGCTTGCTATACGAATCGATTATGTAATTGTATTGTGAGAGCTTATCCACGATATGCATCTCGTCTTTTCATCAAAAATCGAAAAAAGAAGAGTAAAGTTCCCTTTATAGAAAGTGAATATTCTTTTGCAAGTAAAAATTGATTGCATAGACACATTTTTATGGTTATGGACAGTGTCAAAAAGCATGAATCCTTCCTAAAAAAGACCTAATTTTTAATAATAATTCCGCTAGGAAAGTGGCATTGCGTACCAAAAGTTCATTAACTTGTAGTTATCATGGACTGCATATATGCAAAAGATTTTTGGTTTTTTTTTTTTTTTAAATGAGAAAAATAAGAGGTATCTCACTTGGTTCCGTACATAAAAACTATAAGAAAAAACTTGCATGTATTTGTAAATACTACTTCAATAAGATCAAAATATTAAAATATTGGGCTATAAATCCACTTCAGATATAAACATCAAGTTTTTCATTCTTAATAGAACAGCACTACAAATTGTTACGAAGATTAGGCTCTTCCTTAGACAAAGGGAAGAAAAAAGTTATAGATACAAAATATTACATTTGTCCTCCCTTCATCTCTACCACAAATTAATATTATCAGTTTTTTTTTTTTTTTTTTGGGTAGTGGGCAGTGACAACAAATCGGATAATATCCAAATTTGGCTTCAAAGCCAACCAGTTCACTGACAGCCAAGAAAATAAATGAGAGACTACAGCAGTGCTAGTTTTATGTTAGTTCGCTGCCAACCAAGAAAATTATATACATATATGAAAAATAAAAAGGAGTGGTTTGTTTGTTTGTTTGCTAGTTGTGTCCTTGTATGAGCTGCTTAGTTGCAACTAACATGCTCTCACGACTTTTTGTGGCCCATGAAGTCCCCATGACTCCTTTTGTTTTTAGTGACTGTTTGGAGTGGAGTGAGTTCCAAGTTCACTACTACTTCAGTGTAATGCAGTAGTGTAGTAGCAATAGCAATTAGCAACAGCAATATTAATCTGCTGGATGCTGATCACTGATGACATGGGCTTTTAGAGATTTAGCGTTTGGATTAAACTTTCTATCACAAGTTGGTGAACCAACAATTTGTATCAAAATCATTCGTGTAGTGAAATTTCAAGGGTTAGTTCTACTAAACATAATATAATAAGATCCGAATTTGTAAATTTTTGAATATTATATTAAAAAATTATTTTGATTCAAAAATTTAAATTGTGGAATGAAATCTTAAAAATAATTATATGTTATTCTCTAACAGTTACGAATGCCATATATAAATCACCTACAGGTTTTATATGGGATTTCACAGTACTTTACAAAGGCAACCAATAGGTACACGTCACGTGTCTAATTCACCCATTTCTTTCCCTCTTATCTTGTATTAGAAGAGACAGTACCGCTATTGCTCCTATTATCAAACCAAAATAATATATATTTTATGACAAGTGTTTTGTTTTTTCCACATTTACCCTTTCTTCCACATGATGGCAAGTGTTCTTTATTTTTTTGGATTGATCAATAGAGAATTATGAGAGAGATGAAAGAGGGAGGTAAATGATTTACTTTTGTAACCAATCAATTAGTACCTTAGCTTGAAACAAAAGCAGCACAACATTGAGCGTATAGCGGCAGCCCACCTGCATATCCTTACGTGCCTCTCACAACTGACAAATCAATTTTCTACGCTAAGAATCTTCCCTTCTTAACACTCCCACTCCTCTTGATCGATCATTAACTACTCCATTTTTCTTTTTCTTTTTTTGTGCCCATTCATTCAATTCAAACTATATAGCTAGCTTCTAATTGACACCATTTAATTTGTGGTCTTGGTGCCATTGATTAATTTGCATGCATCTACAAGAATTATTACTCAAAAAGAAGACAACTTCATAAAAAAATTGGGTAATGCTGACCCATCTCACATTATTTGATAACAACTACTTGTCTGCGAATTTAAACATGCAAGCATGACTGCCCTCCCATCATCCCTACTCCTCTACCCCTTTGTCTCCCCTAAAATAATACAAAAAAAAAAAAGAGAGAGTAATTTGTTATTTACGTGCGCACACTCTGTCGGAATTAGCTAGCAAACTGTTCTTCGTGTTGATCTTTAGATAATATTTTCATCAATAATTCGTGAGTTGTACTAACAATTTAAGTGATGAAGATGTGAGTTGATCATCAATTGTTTTAATTAATTATAATTAATTAAGGAAGAGTTGGGTTTGGTTTGTCTCTGATTATATCATGGGTAATCGATCACTTAGCGGATCCACTTAATCCATCATCCATTATTGCTAAGAGGAATATGTGAGAGCCACTTTAATTAATACGTGAAAAGATTCTTATAGCCCATAGTCATAGGCCAACATGATGAAGAGTAAGTTGAATAATTTTGTTGACTTACATGCATATATGGTTTCACTACTTAAATGACCTCCTCTCATCCATAATAATTAGGTACCTCTCAATATTTTTGCTTCCCTGTAATGCCGCCTCTAATTACTGACTGAACAATCACAATATATGTATTAATTTGTGTGACATCTAAAGTGTAATTTCTCATACTTTCACCTAACAGTTAAATTGGTGGATTGATATTAGGTTTTCTTTAATATATATTATTACTAGCACTCCTATATATATCTTTTTTTTTTTTTTAGAAATACATACAAAATAAACTACTATTTTTTACATGCATTCACCCTAAATAATAATGATAAAAAAAAATGAAAATTGAAATTTGCTTTAATAAAAATATAGATTTGATCTTAAAATTGTTTAGGAAGACTCGATTCATATACAAATTGATTTAAAAAATATCTTTATCGTCAAATAAAAATAAAACAGTATGGTTTGGAAAGTCAATGGTGAACTAAAAAGAAGCTTTCGCAATCAATTAGACTTTTACTAGCTACACTATACTAAAAATGATTCCTTTTTTTCTTTATAAATGTGATGAAAATTATATTGAAAGACAAGCTGGAGGAAAAATTAAGGAATTACGTAAAAATAAAAGTACAACTACCAGCCCCCTGAGCTAGAATTCTATGAATCTGAAACACCACAAGTATATGCTGTAATACTGCGTCCATTGTATCTATCCTCGAAATTGTGTTTTATCTATTTCCATTAGAGATCAAATTGACGAGGTCAACGTTAATGATACATGAACCATTGGGTTGTTAAATACTTTTCAATTGCCCAAACCAATACTTCTCTGTATATGATTTTACCGTAGATTAAACGATCGAGCATGAAGACTACGTTAAATGAATTTGTTTCCTATTAAATATTCATAAACCATTAATTAATCGGTTCCTTAACAAATTAACTTGAATGAAATTGAGCAGCTCGAAGACTCCAACAAAAACGTATACCTGTCAGATACTTGTAAGGTAAACATGCCCTTCCTTTAACAGAAAGCCAAGTTGAGACATAGTCGGTACAAATAATATTAATGTCCCTTTCTTTTCTTGCTGGCTTAGGCACTTGGTGCCCCTTACTCTATGCCCTATTCCCACAAACTTCACATGAGAGACAGAATAACACAAGTTGATGAAGAAAGAAGGAAAAAAAAAAAAAGAGTAATGGGTTTGCTTAAAAGGTAACCGAATCTCTCAAATATACTCAAAATAGTGGTGGTGATGGTACCTTACTTTAACAAGACATGGAGTGAATGAAGCTAGCTAGCATGCTTTTGACGTGCAATCCTGCTCTTTGCTTTTAATGGGTTTGAGTTTATTCGTGACCTGGTTAGCATACTGTGAGAGAAAGTGAGTTTGCATGAAACTGACTATATCTTAATGTTAAGACCAACCAACCCTTCTTCATGAACTCTCCTAATTAACTCCGTAATATTTTTGCCCTTTTGTTCAGTTTCTCTCTAATCTCTTACCAAACTCTTACTTGAAATTTCTTTTTACCTTAAAAAAACAGTAATTAAAATTGTTTACTAATCATGTACGTAGATCTGTATCTTTCTTAACTTATAACTTAATTTGTTTAATTAAAACCAAATTTCTCATAGCTTGTACATGTGTTCGTCTGATTTTTTTCACCTGAAATCATATTTCAAGCCTTTCTGTGAGAAAAGAACAAAAGTCAAAATTTCACTAGATGCCAAAAAGATAACATCAAATTAATTAATTACAAAATCATCACTTGATCGATCATGGAAGCTTCATTTAATTTTTAGTCTTGCATTGTGAAATCAATTTATAAATATGTACAGTTTTTTTTCTTTTTCAATGAGTTAAATAAAAAAGCCATATAATTTTAATTGAAGCATTTAAAGAATTAAATTTAAAGCGCATGAAAAGTAAAATTAACTTTCCTTGTTAGTAACCCTTCGAAGGTTGGAAACGCAAGAAAAGATTTTGGTTCCTTCTGTGGTGTTTCTGTAGGCTAAAATTTATGGTAAGTATTCACAGGTTCGTCTTTTCACTCGCACACAACAAAGACTGCAACTTTGTACATGTATTTTCTTTCACTATAGTCATAGTCTTTATACATATATAACAATAACAAGCAACGAACACCATGTTACCCTTCACTAGTGCGTGTATATATATAGCAAACCCCACCTTAGCTTCCCTCCATTAGTACTCCTTTCTTTTTCTTGATTTTTCACTCTCGACACAAGCCCTTCAGTGTTAGGTCACTTGTGCATATCACATCTTTCATACTATATTTCACATAAGGTGTTTGGGGATGGACATGGAAACTCAAGATGATTTCATGGGATCTAATGATCTTACTCAGATCGTTAAAGGCAAACGCACCAAGCGTCAAAGGTCACCGCCGCCATATAAGGTGGTGACCTCTAGCTCATCGAGTGGTTATGGTGGTGGTGGAGGAGGAGGAGAAAGAGGAGTTCGTATAGAGGAGTATGGTTCAATTTACTCCCCTACAACTTCTAGTGAGGTTTGTGAGAGCACAGAAGAAGAGGAAGATATGGCTAATTGCTTGATTCTACTAGCACAAGGTGACGTCCGTCCAAAGCAAATTCATGGAAACAAAGGTAGTAAAGTGGAGAAATTTAGTACCGGAAAATTCTCTGATATGTCCTCCCCAACTATTAACAAGGCCGGTTTCTTTGTATACGAGTGCAAAACTTGCAACCGTAGTTTCCCATCATTCCAAGCATTAGGTGGGCATAGAGCCAGTCACAAAAAGTCTAAGGCCACAGTACTGGAAGAGAACAAGGGTCTTGTGGTGGCATCAATGGAGGATCTTAACGGTTGTCAATTGAATAAAAGCCCTGATCCTTCTCTTTCTCTCCAAACAGCTCACGACAACAATAACGTCAACAAGGGTTTTCAGGCGAACAAGGCTAAGATTCACGAGTGCTCAATTTGTGGCTCGGAGTTCATGTCTGGCCAAGCCCTTGGTGGTCACATGAGAAGGCACAGGGCTAACACAGGCGGCAACCAAGCGGGCACGATCAGTACTGATTCATCAAGTGCTACCATCGAGTCTAATATTCATGGTGATCATCATCATCATCAGATCAAGCCAAGAAATATTTTGGCTTTGGATCTTAATCTGCCAGCTCCGGAGGATGATCATCACCTTCGCGAATCCAAGTTTCAATTCACGTCAGCACAACAAGCTCTTGTGTTCTCCGCCCCAGCCTTGGTGGATTGCCATTACTAGAAAAATACTTTAAAGATCCATAGTGATCAATGTGAATTATTTTCATTTTAATGACCATTGCTTCTATAATTTACTATAATTCATTACCATATATCCAAATTCTTTCAATTCTTTCCTGTTTAGTTTTTGTTGTGTTACCATTAACTAATTAAGTTTAATTTTGTTGACATATTGTTTCTCAATTTGATCATCTACTTGTTGAAGTTTGAATACTTTGAGTAAGTAAGTGGTTAGTGTTCATGGTTGCCTTTCATTCACGAAAAGTGAGTGATGGAGGCATCTTTAATTATCTTTTTCTCTTTATTTTTAACAATCTTTTAAAATAATTTTTTTGGGTTCTTTCTAAGTGGGAGAGCCATATGTAACCCTCTAGAGAGAGAAAAAAAAAAAAAGAAAGGGAAAGACACGAAAGAGCATGACTAGGGTTTGGCACACCACCAGTACCACAACCAAAAGTCGTGGATTAGGTTCTCCCAATACGTGCATTTTTTTTTCTTTTGTTGCAATAAAGTCTCAAGGAAAAAAAAAAAAAAACCTCGAGGTTTAGTTTGATTTCATACATGGAAATACTCTTCATATTATCATCTACAATTTGAATTTGAAAAATTGTAAAAAAGTAAAATAAATAAACATAAAATATATATGGTTAATCCATCTATGTAAACGTAGATAGTCTGTTAAAAATCCTATTGGAAAAAGACTTATTCTCCAAATGTATATCCTTACCAATTAAGTAAAAATAAAAAAGTACGAATTGTTAAATAATTGACAGAATAAATGGATTGCAAATGAGTTGGTAACAGTCCTTGCCACATGAATCCACCTGTATTTCCTATTTGTTTATTTTGTCTATATATAAATTGTCCACCTCATACTTTTAGTTCTTTCGCCTGCTCGTTACACCTAATTAACCAACTGCATCGATCATACCTTACTTTGTAAGTCACTTAGTTGGGATAATCCTATGGGCCATGCTGTCCATGCCAACGTCTTTGATGTTTCCAAGAAAGATACACTAAACTCATGTATGCCACAGCTTGTGGATATACTCTTACCGTCGTTACATGAGGTCCATAGGCCATAGCTAGCATATTTATTGCCACCCACAATTCTTCATTCTTGTCCATATGTGCCAAGCTTGGTCGATATACCATATGTTAAAAACAATATTGTCATATTCTAACATACATAACATGTTAGTGTATATATCCTTGACGATTTAATTGAAGATTACCTTTTAACAGCAACAACATTTTGGATTTAAAATGATATTGTGATATTTTTTCTCTCTTTTTTTTTTAATGTAAAAAAGGTTTCAAATTAATTTTTTAATATGCTTTTTTCTTTTTCTTGATATATATTCTAGAAGAGTTAATGTAATTAAACTCTTAAATTATTAATGCTATTGTTTTGTTTGCAACCAGTTTGATAGTAAACCCTATGAATTTTCCAAAGACATATTTAATGAAATTGAAATTGAGGAATGCTTCTATATTTAAATCTAAAACACGCGCACGCGCATGCGCACGCGCGCATACATATATATATATATATATATTCTTAATTTTATATATTTTTAATTAGAGATCTTTCTTTTGTATGTTAAGAAGTAATATATTCTTGCTATGATTTCAAACGAGTTTGAGAATGGATTTGGAATTTCAGGTCCCTCAACCTCGTTCAGGTTTTACGATGGACATTCGTAAGTCCGATTCACCATTTATATCTATTTTTTAATTGAGGTAAATTACCTCATTAACCTTTACAATCAGTATTGTATAAAAAACATTATAGGAATTAATTATTTCAAAACTTTGGCACAGTTTAACAAAACTTCCTTTAGATTTAATAATATGTTTCAAAAAATTTTATTCTTTTGCGCATATATTAGTTAATTTAATTATTTTGAGTCTTTGCTATTTCTAGTAGTTGCTAAAAAATATTTTTTTGAAAAAAAAATTCAATAATCAATTAGGAAACTATCAGATAATTTTTTTAAAAAAACTAAATTATTCGTCAATATATACATATATGTATACATATATGAACATTCTGAAACAACAGAACAAATTATGGAAAATTTAATGAATTATTAATAGATATAATAGCACTATAACATGGGACATAATTCATTGAATTTGAAATCTGGATCATTTATTATTATCTTGTTTATTAAGTGACTCGTTATTAAGAGAATTTTGTGGTACGCACCTTTGAGATATATATATATATATTTCCAAATTATGAAATTATCTAGAAGATTAGAGAAAATAGATATTAGCCTAGTAACAAAAGTAAGCATATTGTACTGAGGGATGCATTAGTAGACTCACTTCACACTCACATATACAGAATTAGTAGACTCACTCCACACTAACCAGTACAGAATTTGTTGCGTGCACGTTTTAGTGAATGTTGAGTAAGCCAAGCATGTGGATACATGCATTGCGTGAGATTTCTAAATACATAGGAATCAATTTAAACATTGGCACAATGTGTCATCCTCTCATATATAATACTTTCTCAATATAAATATAAATGATAAATGGTTTCGTATCTTTGCTTAACTTTAAATTATTAAAAAAAATTAGTTCCTCCAATTTTTAATTTCAAATTAGATCTCTCTTCGATCATTTTTTATTTGAAATTAAATCTTTATGCTACATTTTCATCAATTCTAAGATATAATGCTAATATTTTATAAGCTATTAAAGAATATCTTTAATAAAAAAAAAAGCAAGTTTTGGAAAAAAAAAACCAAAAATAAAATATCCATAAGTTCCGGCACATTTTAGTCGTTAGAGAAGCTAAAAAATAAATCACATGCAAGTCACGTATTCTTTTATTATTAAAATTGACATAAATTTAATAGAAGGTTCCAAAAAATAGTTAGAAGAAGGTCTTATTTGAAATTAAAAATTGAAGAATTGATACTCTAATAACTTAAAGTTTAGAGAAGGTTTAGGCTATTTAACCAAATATAAATAACCTCTTAGAGTTCATCTCGAGGTTAGAAAGTTTTGTTTCTTTATTTGATTTTATGAGTTCAAATCTTCAGATCACATCTAAAAATATTTATGAGCACACTATGATAACATGAGGGATGCACTTTTAAAATCTGCTCGAATTTTTTTTTTAAAAATTTTAGTTGATATATAAATTAATTAAAAAAATCCTTATTGTTGAATGAAAAATATAAATATAAATAAAATATTCCTGTACGTATGTGTTATGTTCTCAAAACAAAAGGTTAGGCTAAGTAGCTTCTTCCAATTATAAAGGATTGCTTTCATCAAAACAACTTGAAGAGTTATTAGTATTCTTAATTATTGTTACGAGGCTTGCATAATTTTTTTTATTTACTTTTTACCCAAATATCTTGGTGAGGAGTTAGAGTATTCTTAATAACCAATGCAACACATTGTTTCAAAATTTAAATGAAGTTGCAAGAAATAAAGTGAAAAATTTTTCTTCTATAAAAATATTGTTGAGAGAAATATATTAATATATAGCTTTTGTTTGTAGCTCTGCACTTATTTTATCATAAATAATAAATTATTTATAATAACTTGAAGTAGTCCCAAACATGCATACACCACCAGTCCGAGTCCGAGTCCACTACCATTTGCTCTCGGCCATAGAGACATAACATAAATAGATAAGGTGCTAGACACTAAGGTGTTGTTTGATAAAACTAAAAATTAAGTGCTCGAATCTATTAAGTACTCGAATTTTAAGTGATGAATCTATTAAGTATTGAATATGTTCCCGACAAGTCTGTTTGGTATTTATTGAAAATTAAGTACTAAATATAATAAGCATGTTTGAAGATGATAAAATATATATGATATTTTTTAAGATTTTAGTTTGAACATATGTATCCGATTATATTACTCTTATTGTTTAAAATTTATTTTTTTCAATTATTTTTTTCTTACTAAAATTCTCATCAAATTAATTTTTGATATATAATTTTATTTGTTAATAAATTTGATTTTTTAATATATGAATTTTGGAATAAAATTTTATAACGTCGATGTTTTATTTTTTAAAAATATATTATTATAATTTATATAATGAATTATTTTTATGCTTTTCAAATGAGTATTTTATTTTCAAAATATATTATTATAATTATAAATTCGATATTATATATATATATATATATATATATATATACAGAGAGAGAGAGAGAGATGAGAGTATGTTTTAGATAGTTTGACTTAATCGGATAAGTTAAAAATTTTAACTTATCCGATTAAGTAGATTTTAATTAAACTTAAAATTTTAAAATGAGATCATTTAAGTTATCAAACAATATTTTTATATTAAGTAGTACAACTTAATTTTTTAAGCTACTTAATTAGGTTATCAAACATCCCCTAAATGTTTGTACTTTTATCAATTGAATGCTTTTAATTTTATATGCCAACAAATGTTGATTTGACATCCTAACGTTAGGGGCCCTATCTAATAAAGTCAAATAAAATTACAAATTAATTAAACCAACAAAATCATAAATAAGAATCTATTCAAGTCAAAAGAAATTAATTAAGAATCAAAGGAAATGTCTAAGAAATAAACTCTTAACCCCCAAATTGGTGTATATTTAATGGAATCCAATAGAAGCATTTTTTTACACTAAGACGAAAGTGAAAATAGATATTATCAAGGAAGGAGTAAATTATAAATTAGTCTATTTAATTTTTCAAAACAAAAAACTAATTATTTAATATTATTTTATTTTTAAAAAATCATCTTGTCTTGTTATCCTTCCATATTGTTCACTTATTATTAAAAAAAAAAACAGAAAAAAAGATTAAGTTATAATAAAAAATTAAAATATAATTTTTTCTTAAACAAGAGAATGAAGAAGGCGAGACCTTAGTATTGTACCTAAATTTATTTTGGACCTAGACTCAATAAATAAAACAGGAAAGATGGATAATTTTTTTAATTAAGCCTAACCAATCAATTCAAGTAAAGTCTGCTAGAGTTGTTTTCGAAACCAATGAAAGATGGACTCTCAACAAATAAAAACGGGATAAAATGGGGGAAAATAACCATAAACAAATAATGTACATTTAGTTAAAGAATAAAAACAGTCCATTAGAAATAAAAGCACCATCCAAGCTGTTAATAGATAAAACCTATCAAGTTTTTTTAATGAATTCTTCTTATTCTTTCTTGATTTAACTTATTTAAAAGTCCACTAAATTTGTTCAATTAAAGAAAAGCCATTTTCATCACATTAAGCCCAACCAATCAATTCAAGTAAAGCTACCGGAATTCTCTCCGAAACCAACAAAGGATAGACTCTCAACAAACAAGAAGGGAATAAAAACATGAGAAAAATCCTATTTTAAAGGGGAAAATAACAATCAACAAATAATGTACATGTAGTTGAAGAATAATAGAATTCTAGTAACAATAAAAGCAAGATCTAGACATTTAATGGATAAAACCTATCAAGTTTTTTAATGGATTCTTCTTATTCTTTCTTGATTTAATTTATTTAAAAGTCCACTAAATTTTTTCTATTAGAGAAAAGCCATTTTCAGAACATTAAGCCCAACCAATCAATTCAAGTAAAGCTGCTAGAGTTCTCTCCGAAACCAACAAAAGATGGACGTTTGACAAACAAAAACTAGATAAAAATATGAGAAAAATCCTATTCTAAAGGGGAAAAATAACTATCATCAAATAATGTACATGTAGTTAAAGAATATCGAATTCTAGTAACAATAAAAGCACGATCCAAACGAGTTAATGAATAAAACCTATCAAGTTTTTTAATGAATTCTTCTTATTCTTTCTTGAGTTAATTTATTATTTAAAATTTTAATGAAATTGGTCTATTAAAAAAAAGCCATTTTAAGCACATTAAGCCCAACCAATCAATTCAAATAAAGTTGCTAGAGTTCTCTCCGAAACCAACAAAATATGGGCTCTCAACAAACAAAAACTAAATAAAAATGTGAGAAAAATCCTATTCTAAAGGGGAAAAATAACCATCAACAAATAGTGTACATGTAGTTAAAGAATAACAAAATTCTAATAGTAATAAAAAGCACGATCCAAATAGTTAATTGATAAACCCTATCAAGTTTTTTAATAGATTCTTCTTATTCTTTCTTGATTTAATTTATTTAAAAGTCCATTGAATTCATTCTATTAAAGAAAAGTCATTTTCAGCACATTCAACCTGACCAATCAATTCAAGTAAAGTTGCTTGGAGTTCTCTCCGAAACCAACGAAAGATTGACTCTCAACAAATAAACACTAGATAAAAATGTGAGAAAAATCCAATTCTAAAGGGAAAATTAACAATCAACAAATAATGTACATGTAATTAAAGAATAACCGAATTTTAGTAGCAATAAAAGCACGATCTAGACAATTAGAAAAAATATGAGACGTTGGATTACAAGAACAACAGAGCATGACACTACAATGTAAGAAAAAAAAGAGAAGGAACTAATGCATTACAATGCAAGAAAAGAAGAACATGTAGCATTACAACATGCATAAAAAAGAGTGGCCCATACTGGAGGTCATGTATGGAGGAGCAAAAAACTTATAAATAATGGTTGCAATCGACGAGAAATGCACAACAATATAACACACAAACATAGTCTTGCAAATTCTAAAAAGCTTAATAAGCACTTTTACAAGTTTTACACTTGAAACTTGTTAGCTAGTAGGCAATAATTTGTAGGTCGATAGTTAGTTTTTGATCTTCTATTCATATTCGCAATCATCATCATATATAATTCCTTCAATATTTATAGGTCTTTTTTTTACTATAAATTCATTCAATTGAATATTATAAAGGTTTTAGCATTGCATTATAAAGATTTCTAGTTCATAATTGTTAGGTTTTCATTCATATCGCAACCTCGCTATTCTCGGTGTTTTGATTGTTTAACTTCTTAGTTTTTTATTTATTTAATCCTATTGTTTTGATTACATATTAGATTAGGGAGTTTGACTTTTACCTTAAATTATTTTTACAATATATTGTCTCTATAATCCTATAATCCAATCAGTTTGAAAGATTGTAATTTTGTCGTAATAGGTTTCTAAACCTATTGTAGTTTGTTTAATTCATTTCAATTTAGTTTGGGTTCCTTGTTTGTCCTTATATAATAGGACAATTTTTCAATCTATTCTTAAAAAAACTATCTCCGATCCGTCCTTATAATATGTCCTGGTTTCTAATCTATCTTCCGACCAAAATTTCGATAATTGATCATAAATTAAACATGTGCTTTGCATATGATACTTGATTTGTCAAAATTACCCTCATTTGGAATTATATGATATTTGTCAAGTTGTTTTGAATTCTTTATTTAACTTTCATCTCACACACTTGTAATACATATCTTTTGATGAAACAAAACTAGTCTCTACATCTTCACCCTATTATTTTCGAATTTAAACTCTTGAAAATGTTAACCTAAAAAAATCAAATGTCTTTCCATAAAAAAAAAAAAACCAAACCCTTCACATTCCACTTGTCTTTTTGTCATCATCTTCTTTGCAATACAAGACTAAAAGTTCTTAGTTTAATTTGTTTCGATCTGGATGAAGAAGTATTGAACTAAGTAAGGTACAACTTTAATTCTTAACTTAATATTTAAATTAGCTTAAGTAACCTCCTCTATATTATGAAAATTTCTTTTAGTTAAAATTTTTAGGTTCATAAATTGAAATTGTTACTTGGGTTTTGTCAATTCTGTCTCTGCAAAATATGACACTCTACTAAGTCCTGCTATTTTCACTTGATTGTATTAATTTTAGATGTTTGGGAGTTTTGATAGTATTTATGACTCGATTATTGATTTTTAAATTTTATTAATTTTAGGACAATTTTTTTAGGTTTGCTCACACAAAGATTCTATTTTGTTTGTAAAAATAAAAAGCCTAATGAGTTGTAGTATAAGGGTCGTTATTTGTTTTTGACAATATTATGTTATGTGTTTGTTTTGATTGAATTGTTGCTTGGTTTTGTTAAATCTAACTCGAAATATGTTAGGTTTTTTTATTATTTTTTTAATTTGATGTTTATATTTATTGATATTTTTGCATATCATTTTAAAGAATTTTGTTTTATGTATTGGTGATAGGTTGTGTTGTGTGATTATAATTTTTTTTATTGTAATATTGTTGTTAATTATTGGGATATAGTTTGGTTCTTTTTACGGTATGAAAAATGCATGGAGACCAATATATGAAATTCATTTTGAGGGTCGGATTATTAAACGAATGGGATTAGGTATTATGTTAGTGGAGATGTAAGTACTATTAATATAATAAATATTGATTTATTTAGCTTATTTGATACCGAATCTAAATGTAAATGGTTTGCTTGGTGTGTACGATATAGATATGCTATTTATTATGTTATGCCTGGAATTCTTGGTTTGGTTTTGCTTAAAAATAATAATCGAGTCATTAAATTGGTTGAAATATGCAAAAGTTATGAGCCAAGTAATATGAATTTTTATGTTAAGTACAATTCTAAAAGACGTAGCTATGAAGCGTTGGATGCGTTGGTTAGAGAAAACAATAATGCCCTCTTACCGAGTAATAAATAATGGTTGTGGTAATATTAGAGATAATGTTAGCTTTGTTGGCAATGGTGTACCTACTGCTAGTTATGGCCATAATGTTGCTAAAAATGTGATTGCTTATGAAGTTTGAGTTGTTTATGATATTAAATTAGATAACTATACTCGATTGTTACGTAGATGATGATTTTGATGGATTTGAGGTTGAAGGACCTTTAATGAATGAAGATGCTGATGTAGAGGATAATGATTGTAATGAAGAAAATGATGTTGTTGATGTTAATTATCGGAATAAAAGAAATATGGATTGTTGTTCTCTAGAAAAAGGAGATTAAGGTTGAAAGATCTGCTGATGAGTCCGATGAGGAGGATTTGTTTGATATTTAAGTAGTACATAGGGATTTTGAACAAAGAATAATAGAATTATTAGGTAGAATATTAGGGAGGCTATAAATGAAGTAAATGGAGATAAAATTGAGTTTGATGTTGGAAGGAGTGATAAATTGGAGTCCTAAAAAGATTTTAAAGATGAAGTCAATGGTGTTAGAAGGGAAAGATTTGAAGAATTTGACATTGAAATTGATATGGTTAATCTTTATTTTAAGATAGGATTAAAATTTGCTAATAGAGATGTATTTAAGAATTCCTTAAAAATATTTCCTATTAAATCGAGTAGGAGTTTTAGGTATCTTAAGGATGATTTGGTGAGAGTCGTTGTTGAATGTAAATTAAAGTATGGATGGAGAATTCATGCTCGCTAAAGTATCTAGTGAAGAGACATTTTAAGTTAAGACTTATAAGAGAAAATATAATTATGGCTTACAATTCAAAAAATAGAAATGCTAGACAAAAATGGTTAAACGAGACTTATAGAGAGCATTTCGAAGATGATCTAAACTGGAAATTAAGTGCATTCATGTCCGATGTGAGCATGGATTTTAAAATTATAATATCTAAAGCTACCGCTTTTAAAGTAAGAAAACTAACAATGTAAAAAATGTGTGGAGATCATAAAAATATTATTTTAAGCTATGAGACTATGCATAAATAGTTCAAGATACTAATAATGAAAGTTACTTTAAAATTGAGGAAATTTCACCAACATTAGGGTTAAACCTTGTGTTTAAGAGGTTCTTTGTTTGCTTAATTAGGCGGATGAAGGGAGTAGCTACTTATCGACCTTTAATTGGTATTGACGAGCTTTCCTCAAAGGTCGCTATGGTGGATAGATTTTATGTGCAATAGGCTATGATGCAAATGATAATTTCTATCCCATTGTAATGACTCGTTGTCTAACGGAAGAACAAAATAAACTAGATCCGGTTTATGTAGCATTTATTCACTATTATTGGCTTTACAAAACAAGCATCATTAGGTAATCATGTTAGATAGAAAAAAGGTAATCGTTGACATTATTATTTATTCATATACAAATATAAATAATTTATTTTTTGAATATCAATTAGATTGAATGTTAATTGCATATATTAATAGAGATATTAAAAGATCATTTTTCTTATCTTGTCACATTGATATTGTGTGAGGTATCTTTATGTCAATTTTAAAAACAAGGGACACAAAGGAAAATATCTCAAAGATTTTTTATGGAAGGTAGCCATAACTTATATTGAAAGAGAATACAAAAAATAATGGATGATATGAAGAAGTACAAAATTGCTTATGCATATCCGCAAAATGTTGATCCTAACACATGATACGGATATAAATTTGATCCTAGAAGTAAGACTAATTTGATTATGAATTATCCGTGTGAAATTTTTAATGCTTACATTGTTGACTCTAAGAAGCAACCAATTACGAATATGTTAGATGAAATCGGGACTAAACTTATGGATAGATGCCAATGGAAGAGAGAAGGTATTCAAGGTTATACAAAAAATCTATCCAAAGATTCTTAAGAAGCTTGAGAATTTAAAGATGTGGATACCAAACTATAGGTCAATTTGTGCTGGAAATCGAGTATAACAAGTAAATTCAGAATAAGATTTGAATAAAAGAACATGTGTTTAGATGAAATAGGACTAACAAGAATCTCATATGAGCATGCAATCTTAATATGATTCGGTGACGACCTAAAGACTTTATTGATGATTGTTGTTCAAAAGAAAGGTGGTTTGAGGCATATGAACCAATTATCTATCATATGGGAAGTGAGGAGCAATGGTTTGAAATTGAGTAAAAGAAAATAAATGCTCAAAATGTAGGCGGAATGGTCATAACATAAAAAAATGCCCTATACCTATCATTCCAAAGTCCGCAAGAACTAAACCAAGAGGTGTTACCAAAGTTAGATCTTTAAGTTTGAGAGTCTGGATAACTTTGATCTTCAACATAAAGAGATAAAATAGTTGCTACACAAGCTAGACCTTCATAAACTCTAGTAAAATCTGTACCAAACCTCTAAAGTCTTTAGATTTTTTTTTACTATTGTGTTTTTTTTAGTAAAGCTGATTTGTTTGTGAATGATATACCTTTGTATATATCATAATCATGTTGCATATCAGGCTATGGATACACCTCAACCTATTATAATGCCAAGATTTGTTAATGATGATGTGAGTGTTGGAATTGTATATGAAGAAGTTAGTATTCATAGTAATGTTTATGAATGTTTTATATAAGTATAAGCATATGGGTGTTAAAAATTTGTATTTGATTTACAGAATAATGGTCTATTTGAAGGAGGTAAAGGCAAGGGTAGGGGCAAAGGTAGAGGCAAATTAAGATAGAAGCATACGAGAAATTAGGGTTGAGAAATCAAGCTTTTATGTTATATTTTGACCTAATGTTTTGTATGAAAATAAATAAATTTTTATAGTTAGATGTATTTGTAATTACATAGATAGAAAACTTTTACTATGCTTATGTTATTTTAAAACTATATGTATGTTGTTGTGGACCATATTATTTAGAAACTATATGGACCACTTGGTCTAGATAATTTATACGAAGTTGTTTTGTCGAATTGTCCGTACTTGTTACTTGTACATTAAGTGGAAAATGCATTATTTTGAAGAATTAAAAGTTGTGCGGGTTCATGTCTTGAGATGGGTCATTAATTCAAAAGACATGAAATTATTGAGATGGTTTATGAAATAGAAAATGTATGGATAGGTAGATGGGTCATTAATTGTTATTTATCTTTGTTTAAATTCTTCAATTAATTCCTTCTCATTTATACATGTATCTTAATATGAGATGAGTCATAGCTTTTCCTTCTCATTTATGTGATTATTTCACCATGTTCATATAGCTAATATATTAGTTAAATTAGTTAAAGACTTTACCCAAGTTCCATATTGTAGAAATTGCATGCAAACAAGGGAAATAAAGTAGACATGCCAATACACCAACGGTCATACTTTTTCATCATCTACAAAGACAAAGTTTATACAAAAATTTCCACAAAAAATCATCATCCACAAAGACAAAAAAAAGGATGAACATAGACAAATTTCAACAATATAAAACATAAATTTCTTTCAGCTTGATATTTAAATTTTTTTCATTACATTTACCATTCATTCTTTAAAGACTAAATAGAGACAAATTCCGCTACTACTTAACCCGATTAAGACTAACCAAAGAGTTATCGTAAATCTTCTACAATTTATCTACAAAATCCAGTTAAGACTAAACAAAGACTTGTTGTAAATCTACTAAACTTTACCCAAACAACACAAAAAAAAAAAAAAAATACCTAACATTTGAAATCCATTATAATTCATTTGAAACCTTTCAACAACATCCATATACCAACCAACCAAGTAACAACAAACAAACACCATGTCATAATCAGACCTTTTTTCACACATTCTACATTTGAAACCCTTAATTTCATTCTTTTTCTCAAGCATATCTATTATTCTAAAAAGCTTGGGTAGTGCACGTTGAGCATGAACTCACAATTTCAAATCAAAAAATTGAAAATACCAACAAAAAGCCTTTGAAGTTCTATAATTTGGATAGCTCGAAGAACCTCCTCTTACAATTTTTTTTCCTTATCGTCTTCAAAGGGGTTCAATGTCTATATCATAATAATAAGTTTGCATGTTACGTGTCCTTCGATTAGAAGTTGTCAAACTGTCGCTCGACAAGTATCATTGTATTTTTCCTTCAAAATTGATTTTTTACTTCAAAGAAATAAAAGAGAAAAAGATTATAGTTAGGGTTTTAATGTTAAATTTGAACAAACAAAGACATGATTTGAATAGAACAATAGAGGATGCAAAATATTAGAGAAGGAATAGATACATATTTGTAATTAGGGTTCCAAATTTAGGGAAGAAGAAGGAATATAAGCTGGGGTTGGAAAGATGAAGACATTGGAACAAAAATGAATCCAATGTTTGCAAAAAATGGTTGATTATCTCGTTTTCTCAAAAGATTGTGGAATGCGATGGAATACAAAGAAATACGAAGGGTTTTGTTTTTTACAGAGAGACGTTTGATTTCTTTGGTTAACATTTTCAACAGTTTTAATTCTAAAAATAAGAGAGAGAATAAATAGATATTATTTTTATTTTATCAAAAGATGTATTACAAGTGTGTGAGATGAGAGTTAAAAAAAGAATCCAAAGTCGGTTGGCAAATATCATATAATTGTATATGAGGGTCTTTTTGACAAATCGGGTATCATATGCAAAGCACATGTTTAATTTCTGATCAATTGCAAAAAATTTTAGTTAGATGGATAGATTAAAAATTAGGAAATTATAAGATTAAATCGAAGATGTCTTTTTTAGAGATAGATTGGAAAATTACCCCATTACATAAAAACAAATGAGGGTATTAATCCATTTAGTTTCTTCATAACATAAAACTCTAAAAATATCATTAGGATTAGTCGTAGTTTACATTTATAAGTTAATTTGATTCATCTACCTATAAGATTAAGAGATTGATTGTCTTGTAGAATACATCTCAACCAACGTTCCTTTTTTTGTTATAAAGTTTTTTTTAGTCGAGGTCCATGCAAAAAACCTACAACACTTAATACATCAAAAAGACAAAAACATGGAGAGTAGCTTAGAAACCATAAACAAAATAGAAGCCTCATGGAACTATAGAATTCTAGTAGTAGGATATTTAACCTAGCATCTATAACACAATCATAGGCACATAAAACATGGAACTCTTGGAACCCCTAAATTTGTTTGATAGTTAGGTAAATTAGGTTTCTTTCTTATGGGGATTGGATACTGTTACTAGTCACCAACATAAGCAAATGAACAAAATACAACACATTAATCTAGAAAACTAACAACAAAAAAAACCAAAATTAGAGCTAAACAACTAAATAAATGGTTCTCATAACTATCAATTTACCTACAACATGAACAAAGTTATTTATTTCTTCAATATAA